CAACTTTTATATTCGTTATTATATGAGAATTTTATATTCGTTGGCTTTACGTCGGCCCATTGGTTGGCTGAGGACGCGTATTCAAATCTCGGGTTTGAATCAGTGTTATCAATGTACCAATGGTCCCTCTGTGCCCAGTGCACGGTGACAAGTTTGTGTTGTTTATTGCATTCCTGATCATATAGGGCATTTTTAATTCCTACTTTTTATCAAGAACATATTAATATCACTCGCAAAATTTCAACAAAATTTCGCCTTTGAAAATCTTGACAGAAAATATTATAACTCGAGAAAAGACTGTTATTTGACGTCGAATAAATCCAGTACAGTTTGAAGAGGTCCATAAAACAGCTTACTAAACATTATTTCTGTGACATTTTTTCGAATTCCTCTAATATTCGTATACCTTCGAACACTTCGTAAAATTACTGTACGTCCTTGAAATAATCCATACCATCTTATTCCAGCAAATTGAATTTCATAGCGTTCATTTCAATGAGAACTAAAAGCGCACCTAAAAAGAGAATCGTATTTAATTATATCCCCGTAATGAGCTTGCGATTTCTAATAGTGCGCACGTCGCCGTATAGTTATTACGACCACAATCTCATTAGCTGCAGGGGTCTTACTGTCATCTCCAGCGAGCTATAAAACTATTAATGGTAAATACATTGGAATGTACATGTATGTACCTGTAACATTTTTTATTGTGAGTGTATAGTTAATGTTGGGAAGATTTAATAAAAGATACATTAGCAGTTAAGAAGTTGTATTTATCCCTTTAGTTTAAGGTTACAATTCCTGGACTAGCTCAGATACAATATATTTTAAATTATAATAATAATAATGAGTTGGGCGCCTTGTCTGTTAGGAACAGACTATTATAATAATTACAATTAAGGGTGTCGTGAGTACATAGGACCTACACATTACTTTGTGCGACCATAAAAGGTTAAATAATTAAATTAATTTGAGATTATGAAAGTTATGCAATTCAATTCAAAAACGAAAGTCCAATCCGGTAGTTATTTAAAATCTATGTCACCGCAGACACCAGCCCTGTGTGCACAGGTCAGCGTTGAGCTCAGAACCAGTAGATAAAGTCAGGCCAAGTGTAGTGTGTACAGCCACACTGTTGGGGGTATATAGGAGACCTCCTGCCAACAAACACTACATTGTAGAACTAACAAAGGCAGAGATATGAATCCACCTACAATAATAAGATGTGGAACACTTACCAACTGGAGGTAAAAAACAATATTTAATCAAGCAGCAGCTCAGACCAGCTTGCCAGCCACCTGTGCCTTCAGCATCCACCTGTGATATTCGAAAAACCATACTTAGAAACACGAGACAATAACATTCTCAACCTACCTTCATGTGAGATTTCTAAATACATTATCAGTGCAAGTCTTTTACAATTTTAGTAGGAAACCAGTGAAAATAACAGAGGATCTTACCACGAGGGATAACAAATCCAGCACAGAGTTTCCCAGACAGCAATCACAAATAATACGACCAGGAATGTGTTCTGATTTCAACCTCTAGCTATGCACTGTAAAAAAAGCGAATTGATAAGAAAACGAAATACGTAAAGAAAACAACCACTGGCATGAACAAAACCAAGTAACTACTTACCAGTCGAAGATAATGGATCCACGAAAAATAATTTATCCAATGTCAATTCGAACCGGCGGCAATCTCAAATGACATGAACGACCAAATGAAGTTAACTTTTACATGTCCTTTCGAACAGGCAAAGGTTCATATGACATGCAGCCTAGTCTTTAGAAAAACGACAATTTAGACAAAGTGATGAAATCACACGTTACATACCTACATACTTTGTGTATGTCTGTGTTCACGTTCACTAAGGCTCATAATTTTTTTGCATTTAAGTCACAAACGGAGTTGTATCTTTTTTATAATAATTGTCAAACTTTGCGCTTGAACAACCGATGTAATTAGATAATTTTTACGGCTTTTATCCTGTTTACGATAAACATAAGAGGCACCGTTTAAGCATTCATTGCTTAGAAATGCGATCTAATTAAAATTATTAATGTGTAAGTAAAAGTATAGCGTAACTTACTAATTTGCTTACTAATCCCACTCACAAATGGATTTCGTTCTGAATCTTGTTATTTTTCCTTTCTGGTGCGAAATCGGTTGTTTGTACACCACCATGAGGTATATATCCTTTCTCATTTTTTAACCGACTTCACAAAAGGAGGATGTTCTATGTTCGACTGTATGTATTTTTTTTTTACTTGTATTATCTGATATATAGCTTCGGCCCCACAAACTTTCTGGCCTCGATGAAACGGAGATAGCTCATACTGTCTCTGTGTACCCTGTTACGTTATTAGTTATGGGCTTGAATTTACATCTAATATAAAGTTGTTAAAAGGAGTCTTCTCGGTCGGGTAGAACCAAAAGCGTTATAACGTCCCAAGCTAGGTGTCTATGGAACATATCATTTAGCTTTGTTACTATATATTGAAGACTCAACTACAGTGAGTCTTCAATATATGTATTAATAATATAATTTATTTGTAGATAACAGTTCTGTACATAAAATGTTCACAACTCTTCCAGTCTAACCTTTTATGGCACAATAAAGAAATAAGGTATTTAGACATCGATAATTGCCTGCCAGTGCAATTAGTTTACACAAGTTTCGTGGACGAGTAAAAATAAAATCTCCAAATTATAAGCCAATAACTGTCTACATTAGAAGATTGAACGATTTTAAAAGGCCGTTGTGACTTTGGTAATACATTTGAATAAGTAAGACATTTTGAGTCGGGCTTTAAGAGAACTATCGTGTTTTTAAAAAGCCAAAAGGTGTTACGTTGTAATTTAATACTTTAACTTATCTCAAAATGTTCATTCCATAACTGTAATTGGTTGCTTTAATTAGAGCGATACTTCTAAAAGCTATCCACCTGTCACATGACGCACTAAAATATCGGACCAAATGCATATTTAAATAGGAATGAACAAATTAACAAGTATTAATTTACAAAGTCAGCATATTATTAGGAACATACGCCCATTGAATAAGTGGCAATGTCCTAGTGGTCACATCTGTCGCTTTAGTAACATATCCCGACTTCGTGTCTCGGTTAAATCTTATCCTGTATGAATCCCAAATGTAGCCTTAAACATATCCGAAATTGGGTTTCTATATCCTTTAGTATACATATGTTACGAGTCTATTTGTTACGTTTTAAAGTGGAAGAAGAAGAATCATAAGTTACAGTGGTACAACAGAAGTAAGAGTGCCACGCAACAGTCTTCTCTGTTGCACGAATGGGCAGGTCCGTCCGGGTTAGTACCACTACCTCACAGAAGACCAGCGTGAAGTGGAAGTGTATATACTTCTCCGTTTCGTCCGTAGAGTGAGGGAGCTGGGACCCACTTCATTAAAAAGTGGCAACGCATCTGTAACCCTTCGAGTGTTGCAAATGTTAATGGGCGTCGGTTATCACTTAACGTCACGTGAACCGCCAGCTCGTTTGCCATCTTCTCACATAAAAAAAAAGTTAAGAGAAAGGGAAAATATTTTAGTCTCCTCCTACTCATTCTGCCTGACGAAAGAGAGCGAAGAAATAGTAAGAAGTATAAAAATTGACACAGTCACACGGTGCTATATTATACGGATGGTTAAAAAAATTATTATAGAAGTCACCGTTGATACCTATCGCTAAAATTGTTTTAAGCTTGCCTCCTAAAGGCTGGACATTCCTCAGACCAATTTGGCACAGGGGCAGGAACTATCCGGCATAAAGCTACAAAACTTTCCCACGTCAACGGAGACTTAAACCCGCTTGTCATAAATAAACATATTGCGACACTGCGAGCTCCCGGAACACTTGACACGTGTCATCGTGGTATTAGATTTGTTGCATTGAGCTATCCGTTCCATAATCGATCCTTTCGCAATGCGTTAAAGTCTGTAATACAACGTCTCATATGATTCCATTGGTTTGAAACCATTTTAACGTCTATTGTTATAGGCTTAGGGTCCATTTTGTCGTTTGTATACGTTTTTTTTTTGTTCAAATATAACTTACGGTGCCTACCTGTCGTTTCTGCATTGTCTACGATGTTTGATTTTGAGATTCGATATGGAAAATAAACATTTATATTCCGACAAGCTTAATATGGATCTGCTGCAATATTTGTATAAACATCTCGTTATTGATAAAAAATAAAGTCAAACAATTAGTTTACCAGTAAGTAAGTGATATGATACCCTACGTAATAATTCCATAGTAGTAGTGTAAATTTACAATGTACGGTAATATAGTTTTAGATCTCTCGCGTATGTCCCATGTCTCAAATGCGTATAACATTTTCCTTTGTCAACGACTTCAATGTTATTATATACAAAGATATGACTCAAGCGCACCAAAACTGAGCCATTCAAATTTACACCTATTGGTGTAATTAGATCTCTTTCCATATCATATGTTCTATATCATCTGTCACATTTACTTATATATGTCACATAATGTAAAGCGGAACAATTTTTCGAAAACGCCGCGCGGATCGGACATACGTCATCTACATTATTAAACATCATGTCTTTAATAATTTTTGCCTCTCTTTTACATTTATTATCTCTTTGAGACGTCTACAATGAAAACTTATATTACGCGGAAATAGATTTTTTGCATCGCTACTCACTTTCAGCTAGCCATCAATCATAATAGCGCTTTAGCGATGTCGATTACCAGTGAACCTTTAAATAGCCCCTAGGAAAGAGAAAAGATGTATCATCTGTACTAGATAAGAAAAGCATATGACGTACCGCTTAGAAAAACAATAAATTTGGGAACTACTCCGAGTCTGTCGATGATTTTAATGATTTTGACGAGACTTTGACGTACGAGGTTATTAAAAGGTGGAAGCCTATATTGTTAAAATTTGTAGAAAAAAAGGATCGAAAAGTTTCTACAAATTTTAATGTTTAGTCTTAAGTGCAGAGATTAGCAGAGAGAAATCAAAAGCCTATATTGGATGAAGTATGGCACCAGGTCCATAAGAAGCCAACCTGCTTCCACGGTCGCCCTGTCCGTCGGTCTGTTGCGATAGCTTACTACACTCGGCGGGTGTGCCCCTCGGAATTTAGGCGCCTCCTGTAGCCCGCTGTCCGCTTCGCCCCCCTGCGGGGCGAACCATCGATAGGCGAGCGCATCACTAGCGCAGACATCGCTTATTGTTTGTGTATGCCCCCCCATATCTTTCCCATCTGCCCCCATAACATAACCTCGCCGGCTACTTGTTCGGAATGTAACAAACATTCCATTTATATTTAAAATTTTTATATTCTCACTGTATTGAGAAATTTTTCGGTTCTTCGTATATTTTTAGTATTTGAAACGAGTAAAATTAAGTACATTATCGCGGGAAACAAAATCAATTTCTCGCGTTTGCCCGGCTTAAAGGTCCCAAACATAATAAGCTCATTCAATAGTAAATTTTAGAATCATAACTTTAAACTCTATTAACCGTGGTAAGGCCATGGCCTTACCACGGTGGCTGTTACATGTAACAGACTTCAATGTAGCGTCGCCTTAACATCAGGTGAATTGTCAGCTCGCCTGCCGCCGTCTGACACAAAAAAAAATATGTTAAATTTAAGACATAAATATGGCGAAGGCTTTTAAATATATAAACCACGTTCGCTCTGGAGGCATATTTCGGTCAATAAAATTGCGCATTGTGAACTTTACAATTGTCATAAGATCAGCTGGGTTACTAAAACCTGTGAAGTTTTGGCAAAACAGAAACTTGGACGCATTCTCTAAGTGTCAACTTATATTGATTTCAATATTCTATTTGTAGCGAATATTCGATTACTGGAATACGTAAGTATTATGGAGCTAAAGTCAAATGCCTATCGCTAACCAAATCTACAGATAGATACCGGCCATTAAACGGTTTAATATCTTTTTTTTTAATTTTAATACAAATGTTACGTAGAATCTTCGTCAAGACTGTTCTTTGCGGTGATTTGAACCACACATTCGGGTACCGTCGCGGCGTACGAAAATAGTCCTGCAGATAAATCACACGCTCTATTTGGGAATTAGTCACCGGTGGTATTACGGTTGTATCGGGATAATTACCAGGGGCGCATACCGCCCGAGCGGCTGGAGCGTCCCGAGCATCCGGGGTCGCCCCCGGGGGCGCCGCCGGAGCCCTAATTGCCGCCGGCGGAGCGCTAACCGCGGGGCGGGGCGGTATGTCGGCTAATGACGACGGAATTGGAAGAATGCTCCGCGATCGAGTCGTGCGTACGTCGAAGTTAAAAGAGCGATTATTGCTGTTTGTTTTAAGGAAATATAAAAATATGATAATTTCATATGTTTACGCGTACACTGCTTATTTTTACATCGAACTTTTTATGGATTCTATCTCGTTTATTAGCGTCAGGATTTTAGTATAGAATAAAAACGGTATTTGTAACAAAATCTGTTGTTTTTACTGAGTACCTTGTAGTGTGTTTTTCTTCTTCAAGCATTGATCATACTGTGCAATGTGTAAATTTACCGGAATGTAAACTGCATTCAAATTCTTACAGCCGCTACGCGACGTCATAAAGAGAAACGTACAAACGCAAGCGAACATGTTGAAATTATACTTTTATTACGAGAGTTCTAACATCAAAACATTATCTTTGTTAAAATTTGTAGGAAAAAGTACGAAAAGTTTATCGCCGTTGTGGGAATCGAACCCACGTCTTCGGGATTCGCGCCCTTCACGCTTTAATCACTAAGTTAAACGGCTTATTGCCACACCGAAATCTCAACGCCGTTTATCTTCCTTCATCTTAAGTGCAGAGATTAGCGCTATCAATATATATTTTCTAACAAAAATTTTTAGTGTTCCGTACCCAAAAAGTAAAACGGTACCCTACTACTAAAACTCAGCTGTCTGTCTGTCTGTTTTTATAGATAATGGTACACTTCGTGCGCGAGTCCGACTCGCACTTTGACGGTTTCCTCAATTATTATACACTGAATAATTTGACATCTCCGCATAGTTTCGTGCAGTGCCACTTGTTTCATAATTGAACACGCATGGGGACTCCAAAGACCGTGGCGCATACCTGTTTTCGTTCCACGTGTTGCTTGTTACCGAGGGGAAGGAAGTTGGCGCCCAGGGAGACCTGGTGGTCTCAAGAGAGCGCTTTTTGTCATCTCCCTAAATGGAAACGTATGCACTGTTTCATAACGACAATAATGTATGCGTTTTCGAACCAATCTCGACTCTAATTTATCTATTTATGAAGAGAATAGTGTCCCTCAAATGTTTACGGTGTGTTCGCATTTTAAAATCGCTAGAAAATAATTTGTCCTCTATATTGAGATTAGTTAAAAACTAATTTTATTGCGTTTTTTTAACGTGCATCAAGTGACTGCTCAGTTGCCATCCTACAAAATAAAAAAAATGAGGAGAATAACCTCATTCACCGCTTTCTCTTGGGCCTTAAATAAGGTGTTTATAATGTGCTAATAAGTTATTTTCCTAAATTCATATACATCAATATTTAAAACGTCGCATTACTCATTTCATACACACGAGTAGCAATCACTGTTTTAAACTTATACAGACTAAATTAGGACCCTCACGTAGTACTAGTATAATATAGTATATAGTAATTGTATCTAATAATCTGGAGTCAGTACAGGTTGTCAAAATGAATTAAAATTTTACACGTAAACTGTGTGCCTATCAAACTTTATATGCATTTCTGACATATTTTCTCAATCCTATCATAACAATTTCATAATATCTAATGCGATGAGGATAATGTGCCTATATTAATATGGAACAAAAACCGCGACTGCATTAGAGTTACTAGCTATTCTTCTATTTTTCGGATACAATATTAAATAATATGTCACTCACACAACTGAAGTGAATCTAATGACAATTCATAAGTTGAAATCCGTCAAAAGATTTAGGCTGTAGGGCGCGTCTTAAACAAACATAATTAATATAATATCGCCCGGCTGCCGAAGAAGGGATCTTCGGCAGCCGGGCGATAATTGCAACTTTGGAATTTAAAATTGTCGGTAAAAATTCGTCTGCCTGCCTACACCTGTCTGAACTAATAACGCTCACATATTTAATTTTATAGCCAACTTCTATCGCTTCGTAGCGTATTGTTTTTACGCAGCCCACACCTGACCACCCCACCCGTGTAGAAGACGTCATGGCACACTTGGCAACGAATTGTCCACCACCCCATGCTTCGAGTGACCTTAACATTAGCGGAGTCCGCATCGATTTTTTAGCCCCCGAGCGCTCGGGAGCCTACGCGGATCGGTTTAAAGTCACGCGAGCGACCGTGCAGACAACTTTACTCGTTCGCTCCACCGCGTGCCCCTTTATGCCGCCCGTGCACGCCACGATCGCGTATTTTTGCACGTTTCGACGTTTCAGCTTCGAAACGTGTGTATAATATAACCACGTTATCAGTAGATGTTTATTTTGCTTCTGTTTTTACCACTCCCTCCTTTTGTCTTCCGGGATGTTTCACAAACACGGAATCACGGATTTAATCATACTAAAAACAACCAGGTTTAAAATGCACGTGTGTAAATGGCTAGTAATTGACACGTGCCGGGATTACAGTCCAAATCAAAGCGCGCAATGGCAGCACTAGTGAAGGTCCACTCAAATGATGCGAACAAAAAGTTGTGTCATGGCTTTCTTGGTGGATGAACTAATAATTTATTCAGTTTAGGACGATTGAATACTAATTTTGCTGTATACACTTTTGTCACTTATCTTCATACTTATAAATAGCAACTTTGAACTATTCTTGAACACTCTTTACATTACATGAGCTCTTTTACAGGATAACTTAAGTACTCCTTCTTAAAATTTAAGTCCTTTTAACAAATTCAAAACATTCTCTCTGAGCAACATTTAGAAAGACAAAAAGTGCGATATTCTATTAAATTTTGCCTGTTTTTAAACATATCTCATACAGACCGATTAATTATTATACATGTCAAGTATTAACAATACCTTCCGTATAACAAGTACATCGAAATTCGATACTTAAATCGTCGGGCAATTACCAAAATGTCTAATCTTAGCCAACGATCGACACGTAGGCCCGTCATAGCGCGCATTTAGATATATTTAACGAGGTTCGAATTAGGGACCCCCGATACGTATCAGGTGTGAAACGTAACCGGCGGCCTCGTGGTCAATTACGTGGAATTCACAGCGATATTTACAGTTCTGCAACACTTATGGAATAACGATAAGTGCATAATGGAATCACCACGCGGTCTCGACTTAAAAGGACAGTTTATACAATGAATAAAACATAGTTGTAGCTTGTATTACTAAAGACGAGCGTAAGCGAGACAACGGAGCATGTGGCCTATTAAAGCAATGAACTAAATTATGCAAAACTATAAAAATCATTCCCACCATTTTTTTGTAGAAGTGGTTTCTACAGACGCTATCAAAGAATTGAAGTTAATTAGCCATTTTTTTTCGTGTAAGCATTTACAATCCTTATTGATTTAATATTTACAAGATTAAATCTATCTAAAATTACGTATTATCTAATAAACCTAATCTACGCGGCATGGTGCCAAGAACGCTAGCTACATTTCCTCGCTGAATAGTTATGCTTAACCTTTGAGCGAAAGGTTAGCATAACTATTAGCCATTTTATAAATTAAAATAACATGTTCTTACATACATTGTTTTTAAAAAAAGGAAGAACGTTTATTACAGATGACCATTTGAAGGATCTTCTACTATATTAATAGAAATGACATATTGTTCTATTGATTTGAATGTTATCACCGAATCTGTCATCACCTGTTCGTTTTTCAGTTGCATGCATGAATGAGTTAGTCTTTCGGAATCTCTCGTGCAAGAAATCACTGTCTACTATCAGTGCCTGTTGTTCAACATAGGCTACACCAGCTATCTCTGTACTATTTAGCTCAATGAAAACTAGATCGCGCTACCTATCTCATTCCACCCTTAGGGTTGAAACACTTCGGATGATAAAGTGTTATTAGAATTCAGATCACTTTACCGAGACTTGTTATAAGACGTCGTAATAAACTGATTATAATCAAGTTATTGGTCACTGATAAATTTTTATTTGTGTTTTTGTTGTTTTACTTCTGCGCCATCCGCTGGATTCGTTTTGGATTTGCCAAAATCGTGAGGAATTTGGTTTTTGAAGACATGTGTAGAGTGCCAATCCGCGACTGGTCCACGTGACGAATTATGCCCAGACACTCTTTTTACAGACAAGATCCCTATGTTGCATGTCCCAAGATCCCTGTGTTATTCCCAAGGAGGGTTGACGTAAGGCAAACGGCCGGTCTTAAAAAACCTAGCTAAAACCACTCACAATTCAAATTTTGTGCCGACCACACCTAGCTGGGATAAGGGCAGGAGGATGATGACGACTGTTGTACTTATAGTAACACTAAAAGAATGTCCTATAGCTTAGTGGCTGAAGCGTCAGGGCGCAAATCTCTAAGATGTAGGTTCGATTCCCACAGCGGCGAAATGATTTCCGTACTTTTTTCTACAGCTTTTAATGTCCTTTTAGCCGTCAAATGTGTGGTTGACGCGCGCATTAGTGAAAAATTCACCGAAAGCGCGGCGCCGGGCGTGCGTACCGTCACGTAGACGCGTGAAAAAAGAAACAATAGGCGATAAAAAACGGCCGCGCAATATCAAAATAAAGTCATCTGAATGCGTGACGTGGAAGTAATTTGTGCATTGCGACGCTACGGCCGGCGACGAAATGCTAAATGTTCCTGGAAATCATATTTTGTGGATCTGTGCTATGGGAAACCGACTAGCTGGTTCGTTTCTATGCCGCATTCCTTCTATCTAATGCCGTTTGTCAATTGCTGCCATGCTGTTGACTATTTGATTGGAATGTGTAGAAGCTCGAGGCATTTCAATCATATTAGTATGTTGCATAATCAAATTCTTAACTGCCGTAATATTTTAGTCGTTCTAGGGAATTCATTTTCAAAAATCCTGTCTGAGAATTCAAATGCGCAGTATTAAGAACTACTGTGTAAAATTATATGCCTCTAGGCCCAACTGGTTTTAGCTGTACGCAGTGTGTTTGAGTTTAATTCTCCAGTCGGTGTTTGAATTTGAATTTGAAGTAAAAAACAACGGTGGAAAAGTGCAAGTCGGACTTGCGCACGAATGGTTCCGTACGATTATCTATAAAAGTGACCAAAAAATCATGTCTGTTGTATGGGAGCCCCACTTAAATATTTTTAATAGGGTCCCGTTTTACCCTTTGGGTACGGAACCCTAAAAATATGAGTAACCGCCCAACGTAACAACACATTTTAGTTTATAATAAAAGTACCAGGAGTGCATGTCATCGTAGGAGATACCGTTATCGCAATGAAAGGGCAATTTACCTCAGCGGGAAGGAATGGGTTTGTGCGGCGCGTGGTTGCCCCGGGGCGCGCGCGGGTGGCCGCCCGCCTCGGCCCGCTAAACACCTCCTGTCAAACTATGATAGCCTGGTATCAGGGCTGTCATATAACGTAGCGAAAGCAACAACAACAAAAGAGTTACAACAAAAATAAGGATATACAGATGATAAACATTGCCAGATGGTTATCTCAACCGTTATAAGCCAGAGTATCGGGATGACTCGAAAGACTGCTTACTTTTTATTTATTTATTTTTATTATTATATAAACCTTTCAAAAATACAAAACCAGACAACGGATTCGGGTATTTGGCTGAGATTCGTCAATGTACATCACGATTAATATCATTTATCATCATCATCATCATTTCAGCCTGTTTGAGTCCACTGCTGAACATAGGCCTCCCCCATAGACTGCCATGAAGTACGATCCTGAGCCACCTGCATCCATCGCAGCCAATCATATTACAATTTCGCGTAATTTTTGAGGATAATGCATTGAAGTAAATTGTAAACGATAGTGCTGCCATTATTTCGAGATATATAAAAGTGCAACGAACACATTGGTGGTGGCAGCCCTAGCGTCATTGTGGCAGCGGAACAAACTCGTTTGTGTCGGCTCAAATGAATCGCGTGACTTGGGAAAACAATTCGCCGGCCTCGGAAGTATAGCGAAGTAGGCAACATTGAAGTTTGTTTTTTGCGTTCGGCACAGACGGTCGGACATCTTGTCTGATAGGAGAAATATTTGCCGTAGAAAATGTTAGGGTTAAAAATAGTTTACTAATATGGAACAAGTTTTAAAATCGCGGTGTTTCGTCTGATAAAATTATCATATCATATCATATATCTACTTATGTACACTAAAAACCGGCCAAGTACGAGTCGGATTCGCGCACAAAGGGTTCCGTACCATTATTTATAAAAATGGCAAAAAAAAATGTCTGTTGTATGGTAGCCCCACTTAAATATTTTTTCATTCTGACTTTTAGTATTTGTTGTTATAGTGCCAACAGAAATACATCATCTGTGAAAATTTCAACTGTCTAACTATCACAGTTCATGAGATACAGCCTGGTGACAGAAGGGCAGTCGGACAGACAGACAGCGCACTATTAGTAATAGGGTCCCGTTTTATCCTTTCTGCACGGAACCCTAAAAAGATTCCTACAATCTTACGTATGAAGGATACAATCTCGAATAAACTGTCGAATCCCGCAGCTTCCAAAGGCTTTGTCCCTTTATCTAAAAAAAACTAATCCAAACAAATTACACATCAGTTTAAATATCCCTTTATACAGATTTTACGTTAAGGATGCATCTCGAAAGCTGGTAGTGACTTCTCGTTTTATTGGTTTTACCGCAAAAATCAATCAAAGACTTTTTTAATGAGGCGCGCCTGTTGCAGCCGTACAGTACCAGGCGAGCATAAGAGGCTCGCAGCAACAGCCAATCTATTAGCCTGTCAGTCCTTATCCTGCGTTCTTCGATTCTCATTACTCATTATTAAAAGCGGCTACCGATATTTATGAGCGCCGCGTTGCGTCGTTTCTAAGTCGTCTGTGCGCGCTTCAAACGTATCCGTTTAACCTTTTCACCTTGTGTCTTAAATAAAAGCTTGTTAAAATAGAAGAGCTTGGAAGTTATTTCATTAATATATTACTATTAATAACATTCGTGTTTGAATTTAATATAGTTTAATATAGAATAAGTGCGGCGTATCTTTCATTAATTACTATTTACTTCGTTTATATTTTTAATTTCACATAAGAAGTTAAAACTTGTAGAAAAAGTACGTAAAGATTTTCGCAGTTGTGGGAATCGAACCCACGTCTTCGGCATTCGCGGCCTGACGCTTTAGCCACTAAACTAAACGGCTGATTGCCACACCGACCAAAATCTTAACCGAGAAAAACTTAAATCGGCTTCTTATGTTTTTTAAAGTATTTTTTTTTATATTAGCACTAAAAAAAAAACTTTAAAAAACAAGAAGTTTATCAACA